AATTACACAGAATTCCATTAGCAAACCAGGGCTGAGCTTGATGAGATAAAGCTCTGATAAATGACAGGAATCTGAACTGTGGTGTTCAAGTTCACCATGGACTTCCAGAAGAAGTAGCAACCACTCTTGGAGGAAGTACAGCCAGAATCCTTAAAAGCGAGGGCGGCAAGACGTCGTCTTGTTTACTTGGGACACAACATGAGGAGGACATCCTGGCTGGTAAAGGGAAGGGTCATCGAAAAGAGGAAGCCCCCTCACGGACAGACTGACACAGCGGCTCCAACATACCAGTAACTGTGAGCATGGGGCCGGACAAGGCAACGTTTCATCTACTTATACATAAGGTCACCATGTTTCAGAGCCGACTCGATGGCACCTAACAATAAGTGACGGAATCGCCTTGCCATGCCGTGAGGGCCTGAGCAGGGGCACCTGCTGGACGGTGACCCTGGAAGGCAAGCCCATGCGTTTTCCACGGGAAAGGACCCAGGAACAAGACCCCCACGAGCCGTTCTCACCACCAACGGACTTGGCAAAGCCCACCCAATCACAGGTAAGCCAGGAGGAAGTGCGGAGGACATGGGCAACGGGTCAGCTGCTGTCGAGCACGGCACTGATGTCTGTGCAGAGCCTGTGCGGGCAGCTCGGCCCAGGAGGACCTGCAGTCTGAGGCATCTTGCCAACACAGAGGTAAAGCAGGCCTCAGCCGTGTACCGCCTGGTCACCCGAGATGTCCACGTCCCTTTGTTGGAGCCAGCCTGCGTGCTCCCGTCAGGCCTGCATGTTTGCTTAGGGAATTTCTATCAGCGGCCACTGCCCCCTGCGTTGTGGCAAGTACTGTTAGACCCTCCAGTGCCCTTACCAACGGCCAGCGGGGCCGCGGCGTTGCTGGGGCCTCCCCTCTGCAGAATGTCAGTCTGGGAGCCAGCAGGCTGGCTGCGTGATGAGCCCCCACAGTGTCCCCCTCCATTTGTTCTTGTGTGTGTCTCACAGAAGGCTGGGTGGCACACACTTGTCCTTGTCACTTAGTGGGACGGTAAGTGGCCTCTGACAAGCAGCTGCTATTAGACTGCAGTCTTCTCTAATTTCAGAGATTAGCCGGAAGTTTCCCTTGGCCAGAGCCACCTGCAGGCCCCCAGGACAGCTCTACACTCAGGCAGAAGCATTTGGGCTCTTGCCTTTGGGGTCTGACTGTAGCTTCTGCCTGGTCCTGGAGATCGCACCCCACAGCTGCCCAGTTCTGTTCTCCGGACCTCTGCTTCACCAGATGCCTCCGCCTGAGAAAGGTCCTTCCCAGGGCCCAGGGCCTTTGTCTTCCAACCCTACACAGCCTGAGACAGTCCCTGAGGCCAGCTGCTATCTGGCTGCCTCAGTCTGCCTTGGACACAGGGCACCATCATCGCTTCCTGCCCACTTGAGAATCTACTTCCTTGCCCTTTCCAGCTTCTAGACATGCCCGCATTCCTTGTCTTGTGGCCCCTTCCGCCATCTTTGAGGCCAACTGCAGGGTCAAGTCCTCACACCAGCTCACTCTGATGCCTTCTCCTGCCTCCTCCTCCTCCCCCCTCAAGAATCCAGTGATTAGATCAGGCCCACCCAGAGCATCCAGGACCATGGCAGCATGTCGGCCACCTTTAACCTCTATCTGTGGATCATAACAAATTATGGAAAACATTGACAAGAACGGGAATTCCAGAACACTGAATTGTGCTCACATGGAACCTATTCACAGACCAGGAGGCTGTTGTTCAAACAGAACAAGGGGACACCGCATGGTTTAAAATCAGAAACAGTGTGCGTCAGGGTTCTATCCTTTCCCCATACTTATTCAATCTGTACGCTAAGCAAATAACCCGAAAAGCTGGACTAGATGAAGAACATGGCATCAAGATTGGAGGAAGACTCATTAGCAACCTGAGATATGCAGACGACACAACTTTGCTTACTGAAAGGGAGGATGACTTGAAGCACTTATTGATGAAGATTAAAGACTACAGCATTCAGTATGGATTACACCTCAATATAAAGAAAACAAAAATCCTCACAACTGAACCGATAAGCAACATCACAATAATTGGAGAAAAGACTGAAGTTGTCAGGGATTTCATTTTCCTTGGATCCACAATCAACACCCATGGAAGCAGCTGTCAAGACATCAGACATCGTATTGCACTGGGCAAATCTGCTGCAAAAAAACCTCTTTAAAGTGTGACAAGCAAAGATATCTCTTTGAAGACTAAGGTGCACCTAACCCAAGCTGTGGTATTTTCAGTCACCTTATATGCATATGAAACCCGGACAATGAATAAATAAGATCAAAGAAGAGTTGATACCTTTGAGTTGTGGTGCTGGCAAAGAATGCTGAAAGTCCCACGGACTGTCAAAAGAAGGAACAAATGTGTCCTGGAGGAAGTGCAGCTAGAACGCTCTTTGGAAGCGAGAATGGACAGAGTTCGTCTCCCTACTTTGGTCCTGTTGTCGGAAGGGACCATTCCCTGGAAAAGGAGGTCATGCTTGGTAAAGTGGAGGGTCAGTGAAAGAGGGGAAGGCCCTCAACGGGATGGACTGACGTGGTGGCTGCAACGATGGCTCAGGTGCAGCAGGAATTGTGAGGCCGGTGCAGGACCGGGCAGTGTTTCATTCTGTTGTCTGTGGGGTCACTACGGGTCAGAGCTGACTCAATGGCACCCAACAACAAGTTCTGACAGAGGCCTGGTAGCACAGCGGTACAGCATTCAGCTTCTAACTGAAAGGTCCGTGGTTCAAGGCCATCAGTGGCTTCTTGGCAGAAAGACCCGGTGATCTGTTCCCACAAAGATGACAGCCTTGGAAACCCCACGGGGCAGTGCTCCTCCATCCTATAGGGGCCGGGAGTCGGAATTGACTTGACGGCACACAGCCGCCACAAGTACCATCTGTGACTTAATTCCGCTTTGCCAGGTAACCTACATGATCCCTGTTTTGGGCATCAGCGCGTGGACACCTCTGGGGGGCCATGGACCGCAGACCCCAGGGTCTGACCGCTGACCTCCTGTGACGCCAATTTCCTGTAAGATGATGCTTGGCTTCCTGCTCCTTATCTTGCGTTTCTTTGTAAGCAGACTTCTGGCAACCTCACACTGTGTCTCCATGTGCAGCCGTCTTCCCACTCGCAGCCGCGCCCTCCTTTAGCCCGGCTGACAGTTCTCCTCCCTCCTCCCTGCGCTCCAAGCAGGCAGAGCCGCTGCGGGGGGCTTCCGTTTCCAACCACACACCCTGGCTGCCCACGGCCCCCCCACGGAGCCGCTTCCCTGGAGTCAGTCTCCACAAATCAGTGATCGCTCAGACAAAGCCCGAGACGCTGCTTCTCTGGGGACCCCCGTGGCGTCTGCCTGGGCCTAAGATGCAAGCTTTAATTTAAACACAAATTACTCAGGCGGAGGGCCAATTAGCCCACAGAACAGGCTGATCCGATTGTTAACAACCCACCCCGCCCCCACCCTCTCTCCATTTCTGCCTCCTGATTAATTTCACAGTGTAGGAAACGAGGCCCTAGAGTCTAGGAAGCATCCCTGGGGCCTGCAGAGTGACACAGGGTGAGGAGAGCCGCCACCCGCCATGTGTCCTGTGGATGTGCCACTGCAGCACTGTCAGCGGGGTGGGGACCAGAGACGGGCGGCCCCGGACCCTGATGGCTGGTGAGGCATCGTAGGGACCTCACTTCCTAATCCACGCATTTGGGTTAAGATGGAGGATGCCAGTCTCACCTCTTGGCCAGGCAGGTAGGGAGCAGCGCCCACGTGGACCCTGCCTGTCCCAGGCTGACCAACCACCCTCCTGGCTGATGAGTTCGCCCACCTGCAGAGCACCCTGTGGGGTTAGGCTGACTTTTCACAGGCGTGCGTGGGGACGGGGGTGCGCACAGAAAGGACCTCCAAGTATAGAAATGTTTCTTCAAACACCACTCCCCTCCCCCTGAACCCAGGGCTTTAACCATCAGACCCAGGTAACATCACCTGCCCGGCCCCCTCACTGGGGCTCCCTGTTGGCCTCACCATTCCACCCTGCAGGCCACACACTCCACACCTGAATTGGATGGACGCGAGTTTCCTTCTAGAATTTTAAATCCCAGTACTACACATCTGCCTACATCCCATGCCTTCATTCTTTTTTATTTTGGGCTCCCGAGGTAGAGATTCACTTCAACAACTACACACTGAGCATGAACTCTCTGCTAAGCACGATGGAGTCCCCCCCAGATGAAAGAGAGGGCTCTGTCTCCAGGGAGCATGCAGTTAAGTGGGAGGAGAAAGGTGACGGGGCTCAGTAAGGAGAAGGGCGCTTACTGCATGGTGGCTTCCTGGAGGAGGCTGCCAGGCTCCCACCCCTCGGTTTGCTGGGTATTTCCCTTAGCCTCGTTCACTGTGGACGCCACCAGCCCTCCTCAAGCAGAAACAAAGACAAAAATATGGATCGTGGAAAAGCCAAGTTCTGGCCCCTGCTTACCCGGCGGGCAGGCAGGCTTGTGCCCCTACTCTGGTGGAGAGAGCCCGTGGGTGGGAGGCAGGGCCTGGGCAGGAGGACAAAGGGGCTCAGGGAAGTCGGGAGGTGGGGGGGCTGTTGCTCGGTGAGCAGCCGGGACACCCCTCACAGTGACAACTGTCCCCATCATTCCCGGAGCCGGATGTGGAGGGGCGGGACAGAGGAACCAGTGGAGAAGTCCCTGAAGACCTGGGCTTCCACCCCAGACGCTTGGCCCCTGGGACCCCCAACACTAGAAGGTGCTCCTGGTTGCCCCCCAAGACCCTCAGGTCTGTCGGGATCCCCGTTCCTACTCCTCAGGGCTCCCCTCTGTAAAAGCCCCGCCCTCCACCTCGGACTTCCTCTCCCACCCTCCACTGCTCCCACCACCCAGCATCCTCAGGCCCGGCAGGGGCTGAGCTGGCGCAGAGCTTGGCACACACGGGGCGGGGCCGCTGCTCCTCCCCGCCCCACACCTGCACCAGGGACCCAGGACTCACTCAATAGTTTTGCCCCAGTCGCACCAGAGGGCCTTCTCCAGGGCCTCCATGTCCAGCTGAAACTGCTTGAGACACAGCTCTCGGAGAAAGGGGCCGTAACTGGCGTCCTGGCAGGCGGTGGCCGCCACGAGGAGATGCACTGTGGGGACAAGGATGCCAAGCGGCCATCAAGCCGGCAGCCCATCCACAGACCACCAGCCCCTCCCCTCAGAGGCCCCTTCCTCCACAGCCCCTCCCCTTGAAGGCCACGTCCACCCAGGCCCCACCCCTCGGCAGCCAGGCCCAGCTCTGCTTCCTGGGGCACCTCCACCGACAGCCCCTCCCAATGGCCACACACACACACACACACACACACACACACACACACACTCCGCCCCTGGGCCGGAGGTCACGCCCACCCCGGACCCATTCTGTGACCACGCCCACACTGGCCCCACCCAACAGCCACGCCCATCCAGCCTTCTGCCTGAAGCCACGTGCACCCAGGGGCCCCGGGCCGCGCCTCTGCAACCAGGAGGACTCTCCACGGGTCCGGCACCCCTTCCCTGCCCCCTGCGGGCAGCCAGGGTCCCACTGAACCCCTGGATGCTCTGTGCAGGGCAAAGGTCAGTCAGAGTGATGCTAGGACCTCCGCGTGCAGGGAGACACTGCCACAGGGTCGTTGCAGGGCTTTTTACACACACACCGTCTAATCCTCATGACCCCCGAGGTAGGTCCTTGTGACGCCCCCTCCCCCAGACTGGACTCAGGCACCCAGAGAACCTGCTCCCTGGGATCCGGCCCCAGCTGTTCTGACCCACCAAGACCACCATGCTGCCAGGCTGTTCCTCTGAGTGAGCGGGGTCGTCCTGTCTCCAAGGAGGGCCAGCATGAGCGAGTCCTGGGGCATCGCCACTCCCCACCCGTCTTCTGCACCACCAGCCTGAGCAGGCCCACCCAGCCTGGCAGGGCCCAGAGCTCGGGCCTCCTGGAGGCCGACGTGCGCGTCTGTGTACTGACAAGGTGTGAACTAGTAGCCTTTACGGAACTGTCCTCTGCACGGGCGCGAGATTCAACGTGCCTTATACCCGGCATGTTGCTCAGCAGCACAGGTCCCTTTGTTCCTCGAAGCCCGTCATCAGCTCTGGGGGTGGGAAGGCTTTTCTTTGGCTCCCCACCCCCGGGACTCCTCTTCATCCTCGGGGGAATGTCACTTTCTCAATCTCTCTATAAGTTGACAGGGGAGGGGGCTCTTCCCACTTCCTGTTCAGGGTCTGGCTATGCACCTGCCTGCTTCTCCTCTCACCCCATGGAAGGAACCTGGATCGGTGGGTGAATGGATATGTGTGGGTTGATAGGTGGATGGATGGGTGGGTAGACTGATGGGTGGGTGGAAGGCTGAGTGAGTGGATGAATGAGTGAGTGGATGGATGGGTGGATGGGGGGTGGATGGATGGGTGG